TATATGACAGGATCGTGCTGCACTATCCAGGCTGACCTTGAATTACTGAAGCTACTTTCTTGTTCCAGCCTCTTGAGAGCTGTGACTATAGGTGTGAGTCACCAGCTAGGAGAAGGAGAATAATTTTTAATTCTGTTAGTCACTCTTCTTATAAATCATCTCTATTACCCCTACTGATCATATACTATTGTTGTTTAGATCTAAAATGGCTCCCAGGTCTCCTGTGTTTAGAAGGAGACTGGACTGTGGGGCAGTCTAGCTGCCTGCAGTTGGAAGGTGGGGTCTGGTAAGAGGAGTGAGTCCCTGGGGGGAGCACTGGAAGAGTTTCCCTCCCTAGCTCCTCCCTTCTCTCTCTGCTCCCCTTCCACCAGGGCCATCAGCAGCTCTCCTCCGCTGTGCTCTTCTGCGGTGCCTTCCTGTCTTGGAGCCAGCTGACTATGGATTGAAACATGAGCCCAAACAATCCTCTCCTTCCTTTAGTTATGGGTTAGGTAGTTTGTCCCAGCAAGGCTGGGAAGTAACTGACACTGATTTTTTTTCCCCAGCATTAACAACTTTCCACTACATACCTCTTCTAAGAGTTGCTATTATTAAACATCAATAACATTTTTATGTATTACAATATAAAAATCAACTTTCTAAGACATTTCCTTAATTTTTTCTTCCAATTTTAAAATTTAATTTCAGTATGGATATATTTAACTTTCAGCAGCATAGTCTTATTCTCTACTTAACTCTCACAGAATTCTGACTGCAGTTATCTTTTTGAGTGCTTTTTGTTTTCTGTATTATTGCTGTTTTCTTCATGCACACTTAGAGTTGGAGTGAATGCCTGTGTTTACAGTTTCACACCATCTGCTACCCTTCCCAAGAGATGCCCTGATGACTCCCAGAAATCTGGCAGCCCAGTTACCCCTGTTCTCATTATTGTTCCTCTCTCCCACCCTCTTGGGCCTTGGCTTGCTTCACCTTATGTGAATTACCATTTCTGCATGCACTATTAATGTCAACATTTTATTATCTTAGCTGACCTATATGATCTCATCTGAAATTCTCCTTCTGTGTCCTCGGCCATGTTCTCTCAAATACATCAGACATTGTCCTGCTACACAGCCTTCACAGTGCTGTTCCCTTTGGCTGGATGCTCTTGTTCTTAATATCTATAAGCTTGTTCCCTTGTCTTTACTAAAATATCATCTTCTAAATGAGGTCTCTCTTACCATATGACTTAACAGTATGACTTAACCATGCACATCATCCTGTCTTCCTTTTTCTACTATAGGCATCTACATCTACTGCCATGTAACATGCTACACATGCTATTAATGTAAGAGGCCAGAGGCAGGGAATTTTTGTCTGTTTCTCACTGTTCTTTCCTCAATAGATAGTGCAGGGTTTAGAACACAGTAAACATTCAGCAAATACTGCTTCGATCTCTGAGCAGCCAATAATCTCCTTTCCATTCCCCTTGTTTCTGTACATTTATATATTTATTCCCTAGTATAATTTCAATAGAGTCACAAGTAATAGAGAAGATAAATTCTGTTTTAACCCATAATATTTAATAAGTCCCAGTTCCTATAAGTTGCATCCTAAATTAATTAATCAACTTAACATTCTGAGAACAATATGTATCAGAAAGCAGTGTAATTTTTAACCATATAGCTAATTTGGAAAGTAAGTTTAATTTAAATTTTAAAATAAATGTCAAAATTTAGGGGCATTTTCAGTATGGTTGTTCAATTAATAATTAATCAAAAGGATAACTGCATAAGAACATTATAATTAAATGTTTGACTTTCTAGGTACTCAAAAAAAGGAAGACAAAAATGATAATTAAAATGTACCTTAGAAATGAGGCAAAGAGTAAATGCTTTCCCACAATATTTTCCAGGTACAAGTGTAATATTACATATACATTATTTCTTTAATCTTCACGATAACCATATTTAGTCTTACTCTGCCACTTAAGAGATTTTTTCAATATTCATTCAACAAAGGAAAATGAGAATAAGATATGTAGTTCATTCAAAGTCACTCAATAAGGGGAACTGCAGTTGACATCAACATTTTTTACAACAAATAACTGCCTCACAGTGCTTCAATGAGCAAAGCAACAAAGGTCCAACCAAGTAAGCTGATGCATGGTAAATAAAAAACATGGATACATGGTGGGTTCATGCCAGCACATAGGTGTCTGTATGTATTCCTAAGACTGAGTTACTTTACCAAATGGGCAATAAAAAAGTTATTATTCTTCAAAGTGTGCTATTCTAATAAAACAGAAATACTAAAAATACTTTCAGTAGAAAAATGATACATAAGAACTTCAGGAACCATCCAACACTTTCAAGACCAAAATATTTATACATGTTTATTGGACTAATGAAAGAAATATTAATAGAAAATGAAAAATGTTTATAGTGTTTCATTATTTGTAATTATTTAAAAGAGAATAAAAGCTGAGTATGATGGCACACATCTATAATCCCATCATTCTAGAAGGCTGATTTAGGAGGACCACAAGTTTGAGTCCAGCCTGGAAAACTTAGTGACTTAACAAGACCCTATCTCAATGTGAAGAAAGGAAAGAAAGAAGGCAGAAAAACAGGAAGGGAAGTCTGAGGATGTAGCTAATGAAAAGGCCTTACGTTCAATTCCACTACCACCAAAAAAAAAAAAAAAAAAAGGAAGAATAAATAAAAAGAGAAAAGAAAAGGAGGGTAAGAATTTCTCTTATTTAATGTATTTATAATTAAAATTATATTTTAATAAAGATATATACAGAATACAATTTCCTTGTTGAAATTTCTAAAAGTGTTACACCCTTCAGAGAAATTTTTTGTCCAACTAATGAGGTTTAGAAATACTAGAAGGTACTCATTAATTCTCAAAACATGTTATCTATTGCATGTCTATTATGAGCTAAATACTGTTCTAGGTAACAAGGATGCAGGAATAAACCAAAACAAAAGTTCTTGCCTTTTTGGAGTTTTCATTCCAGTGGAAGAAGAGAAATAATATATCATGTGTTATACAGCAATGATCACTGTGGCAAAAGTTAAGGGGCTGAAGGACATAGGGT